AGCAGGAAATACTTTCAATAGGTTGGAAATCTCCATAATGCTACAACAATAGTTTCCCTTCGGTTAAGGCTCTAGACATATTTAACAGCCCTGGTTAAAGAACTGCAGCTCCATAAAAGGGGCTCCATATGTTACTTTCCTTCAGTTACAGTGTAAGCTTAAATATATTTACTCAGAAACAAGAACTGAGCTAATGGGAATTACTTCCTGGTATGTATTCTTAAGATTATAGTTACTTAAACCTAGCCTAGGGCCCAAAACACACGAGCAAAATGACATGGATTCCGGCTGCATTTGGGGCATAGCATTCAGATGATGCATACCCCGAATGCATCCAGAAGCTGTGCTGACACCGCACCATCTAGGAAGAACCGGGCCAAGAAGGAACAGATAGGATCTGCTCCTTCAGGCGGCCTGGTTCAGGACTGCGGCGGTGATCCAGATTGATAGTTGCATGCGGCTGCAACAGCCATAGTGCAATTGGTGCCAAAGTGGCTGCACGCCGTTCTTTGAAGCCTGTCTGTTTTGGGCCTTTATTTCTATAACTAGCATTCTATAATAGTAAGGCAGGTATGCCCAAAGATTCTTTGGCAAAATCAGCCACTCTCCACCTGAAATTGGAAATGTATAGATGAGAGAGTGATCAGAATCAAAGATCTCTGAAGACAGAAGACAGTCTAGAAGTAGACTGAAGTCTACAAAAGTTCATGCTGCCAATTTCTTTATTTCAGTTAGTCTCAAAGGTGCTACAAGATCTCTCTACATATTATCTCTTACTCATGTAATTGTAAAGTACCATCTTCAATGCCAGTTACAAATGATAATATATGACAAGGCAAGAAGGAAGTCCAACATCTTCACTTTAATGGAAAATCATCACAGCAGGTGTATTTGGAAATATGACTGTATGTTATAGTTATGTACTAAATGCATAAAAATAAAGTACCTGGTCAAGAATGGTCTTCTTCTTCTTGGAGTCTCTGACAGAAGACAAACTAAGGAAATGCATTTCTCCCATTTTCTTCATCTTCTCATCCATGTCAATCTTTTGCTCTAGTTTTTTAATTTCTGTTTTCAACAGCTTGACAGTGTCTTCTTTGTGGTGCTGCCGTGCTACAGCTGTTGCACAAGCAGAATGAACTGCGGTAATCCAGTTCTCCAGTTCTGTTTGACTACAAGTCTTAAAAACAAACCCACAGAAGTCAGAATCTTCACATTGCTTGTTTTTAAAGATAAAAACTTTTCTCTTGATTTTGCTTGTAACAGATTCTATTCAGTGTGTCCGCACATGTACCTATGTGCTTATTTGCCCTTTCTAACATATCACCCTGTATTTGTAATCAATACTACCAATGGAAACAATGGAAATTAGAACTACAAATTATACAGTTAGAGGGCTTTGTAGAACATCAAAATACTACAATAATATTCAGCTCATCACTGAATAAAATGATTTAGAATGAAATCATTGAATACAATGATTTAGAATGAGATTTCCTGGTAGGAACCAGGGTGCATGTCCTTACATTTTTGTAGCATAATTGGTAGCCTGTAACAAATAATAAATCACTTAATGAACACGGTGTCCATTGATATTGTAACCATGATAAAAAGTATACCATTTCCCTGCTGAGAAAGCTTACAATAATCAATTGTTATGTCTTCACAATACCTCTGTGAGACCACTGTGCTTTAGAGGTGAAGAGGGAAACCAATAATGAACACAAGAGTGTACATCAAAGAACAAAAGACTTGAGCTTCACTAGATCTTCTATGATTTTGAACATAAGGAAACATATGCTGTACTCCTGGTAATGTTATCATGATGGATGGCAACAAATGTGTGTCTTAAAAAATATTTTTTACTCCTAACTGCTGCAGAGAATGGCTTACAAAACAGAAAGCCTTGTGTCTCTGATTTTTGAGATACGAGATGTGTTCAACATCCCTGAATAGTTGGAGAATTGAATAAGACTGGATGTAAAATGCCCTTAACTGTAACTAATATCAATCTAAACACCTACTAGTATCTACACAGCTTATTCTTTCCCAAAGTGTATTTATATGGGCTTCTTTTAACAGAAACAGTTCCTTAAATGAATATCTGCAAATCATCTTGTTTTTGTTTTCCAGTGATACCAAGATAGTTAAACATTTACAAATTCTAGCACCGGCCCTGTTTTGTTCCTTAGCTGAAGGATGTTTGCATCTGACATAATTCAATTCCTACTTTGATCTGCCTCTCCTTCAGGTGGCAAAGCAGTTGTGCCAGCAGATCTCCCTGCCATCTCAAGGGATTATGCCACCATAAAAACCATTCAATTGGTAGGACTTCTGTCTATTCCTAACCCACTCCAACCTCCACATCTTTGAGTTAGGATTTCACTGTTAAGTCTGCACTGGCCACCGATGTGACCAGTGGGCCAGTGCAGACTTTAGGTCTCATATTGGAAGAAAGGGCAAATAAAAATTAATGAATAAATAAGATTCAAAAGCCAATCCAAAAATCTATCTCCTATGTGATTTTACTAGGTAGCCTATTTGATCATTTTCTTTGACTTCTTTAAGATCCATTAAATATAATTTCATCCTGTCAAAATTTGTGTAGAAGCAAATTCTAATTTTTTACAGCAGCCAATATATATAGCTGATTTTTGAATGCAAGTTAAATGGTTGGGGTTTTTTTTTAGGAAGACACCTCCAAGTGAGTTAAGAAGTCTAGAAAAAGCATGCTTTAATCACAGAAATTAGAACAATTTTTATTCACATTGTATGCAGGAAACAAGTGAAGTTTAAATTATAATGGTTCACTATATCAAAGAATTCAGCCAACAGTTATGGCAATGTTTTGACTGGACAGTCATAGAAAATGAACATTACTATTATTATTTTAAGTTGCATTTGGAGGAGAGAGAGTAGGAGGATTGAGCTATTTATACTCTCAAACTGAAAAGGCTGTTCTGCCTCTGAATGAAAGGTGAACCCTTAAAAATAAACTGCACATACCTGAAATATGAGCATGCCATTTTTAAACATTGCAAGCATTGGGTAACACCATGTGACTTACAAATTTAGTGGATTTGTGTAGGCCGCATCACAGCTGCCTCACTGAAGAGGAAATTAGTGGGATATGGGTAGCATATTTGGATGCAAGACAGTAAGAATAGATTTACAAAGAAATGCATATTTTGGCTGTACTGCACATCACTCTAAAGGAGCTCTGCTGGCACAGTGGTTATACACCGGTACTGCAGCCACAAGGTTGTGAATTTGATCCCAGGGCTCCAAGGCCGACTCAGCCTTCCATCCTTTCGTAGGTTGGTAAAATGAGTACCCAGCTTGTTGGGGGCAATTGACTTACAGATTGTAAACTGCTTAGAGTACTGAGTTCACTGTTAAGCAGTATAGAAGTGTAAATGCTATTGTTGTGTCTGTCTGTCTCCAATGTTCAGTCACTTTCAGTAGTTTCTATTCAATGTAAGTCCATCTAAGCAAGATAAGATGCTGATAACTCTAAACCACATGTATTTTATTTTATTCTCATATTATATTCATGAATTATCTGCAAAGATATATTATTACTAACATGATGTACATGGCTGAGCAATTCTCTGTATAACAAATCAAGTTGGAGGGGATTACAGTAACTTGCAGATTATTTTAAAAATTACGTCCAATCTTTCTCTCCTAATGGAAATCCATCTCTGTTTCACTATCTAAATCCTTTAAAGTTACAATGTTCCCAGCACATTGCTAACAAATAGTTTCACAAATCTAAAGAACCTACTGATATATTCTTATTCCTATTATTCATTCTGTGCTCTTTCCCACAAGATGTCACAGGAAAACCTTGCTCTGATCTTTCAGTGAGGAACTTGTAATAAATAAAGCTCTATGTTGCCACAAAAGCTTTGCACTCCAACTGACCCCTAGAGTCTTTACCCTCTATGACATTTCTTTTTGATAATCAAGGTCTCCAAACAAAATGCATTTGTAAGATTTTGCAGCATTCTATGAAGATCTAGTTTGGTCCACACCAACTATAACCCCTATGCTTCTTTTCTTCTCTTCCCGTGACCCCTTGTGACCAGTAAAACACTCTAAACAGAAAACATAACTTGTTCTTCAGGGAGAAAATAGAGGTAGAGTTAAGAAAATAAATTATTTTAGAAGAGTTATTATAACACTGCAAGAGCCCAGATGCAATTGTAACTGGGGAAAGAGTTATAACTGTCCTATACTCTAAGCAGGAAAAGACACAACATATGGCAGACTTCCACTGCTGTGAATTAAAAAGCGGGATGGGGGGGATGCCCATGGAAAACAAAGGAATAATTCCAGTTGAGACTATAGCTCTGAGGCTTTGGGGGATTGGGTCTGATTTGCAGGAATTCACTATTTAAGCCTCACTAAGCCAAATGGCTGAGAAAATATGCCATCGAAGGGAAATTAAAAGTGTGGCCACAATTTCCTTTCCATATAAATTCCCTATAGAAGTCAGGCACTAGATTATTACTAAGGTATACATTGAAATAAACAAGCAGGGTTAATTTGTGCATGTGGTTATAATAAATGAATCTGAATTATAGAAAATATACCGGTAGCTCAGCAGTGGGTTATGGTAATTATGATTTATGTCAGAAACAAGCCCTATACAGGTATTTGATACCCACAAACATTGAATGTCTTAAAAAAGCAGCAAGAACATGCAGTGCTAACCCTTCGTCAAGTGTCATCATGACTGCAACCATACACTTGACCAGATACAAGACTAGTGCCAGTGTGACAGGGACGGGGGAAACTTCTACTTAGTTCCTCAACATAGAGAGATGTCCTACTTAATGAGAATTCCTGTCCCAGTGAAAGACATTCTCTGTGTATAGAAGTATCTCTTTCAAAGGTGCATTTACTTTGTTGTGTATGTTTCTGATTTATGGCAAGGTGGGGTATATCACGGGGTATACTTGAGCTGAGTATGTGTCACTTGCCCAAGGTTTCCATGACCAAGCAGGGATTCAAACCCTGGACTTCAGAGTTGCAGTCCAATGCTCAAACCACTATACCATGCATTTACTACAAACCCCAAAATTTGGAATCACCTCTAAACCTGTGTCAAAGTTCTGCAATTGTTGTGCAACATTTTGCAATGGAAATGTTTTGCAACAGACCCCAAACTGCAAAACAGCAAATCTTTGGTATAGGTTTGGAAGTGACTACAAATTTCCAGGTTCATAATAAATGCATCTCCCTTTTAAATCAAGACCATTAACAATTTTGGCTGGGTTGGCATGGCTGGCACATACAACTGGATGTGTGTGTTTAGCTATTCTCATTTTTTATTATATTGTTTGTGGTCTCTTCACTCGTTTTGTACTCACAAGGCAATAATGTGGCTAAAAATATATTTTAATTTCCTAAATATAATTTTGGGAGAATACATTTACACAACACACGCAAACAGTGCGTTTGACTTCTGACAATTTTCTTCTGGAATTCAGATGGATGCAGTTAATCATTTAAAATATATATTTATTAGTGTGGTTAATAAACAGGTCTTTTATAAATGACTTAGCAAAACATTTCAGCTTCTGGCTTTTTCTGTTCCTCAAAATCAAAGTGAACTGTACCTAAGATAAGAGTTTAGAACATTCTATTGTAAACAAGCGAAAGTGGGTGATGGTATTAAGTATTATCTACTAGATTGAGAACATGTAGTGTTAAAGTCTTAAGTCTCTGGATCAAGAAATTTTACCTTATAACCAAAGTACTAGAAAGAAGGGGCATCTTAGTTCTAAATACAAACAAATCAGAGTTGTCCCAGTTAAAATGTCTAGCTACTGGTTGCTCAAGCTTCTTGTCTGGATTTCAGATTTATGATTCCTGAAATGTTTATTTAAGTACGTGCTTGTTTTTCATACCCACAATGGGGAGGGGGGTTGCCACAACTTTTTATTGTCCTGATGTGTAACCTATACTTGGGACAAGAGGGCATTGTGAGTGCAGAATGCACTCAAGTGGAAAGGGGATGAGACAAGGCTGCATTTTGTTATCTTGTTTAATTTATACAGAAAAAAAATCATATGTAAAGATGATTTAGACTTGGAGGAAGGAGGCATGAATTGGAAGTGTGCCAGTGTGGTGTAATGGTTTGAGCACTGGACTATGACTCTGGAGACCAATGTTCTAATTCTTGATCAGCTGTGGAAACCCGCTGGGTGACATTGGACAAGTCATGCCCTCTCAACCTCAGAAAAAGGCAAAATCCTCTCTGAACAAATCTTGCCAAGAAAACCCCATGACAGAGTCCCCATAAGTCAGAAGTGACTTAAAGGCACACAATAACAACACCCTCTCCACAAAACAAGGTATCCCCTTGCCTCAACAACTCTAATTGCAGTTGGACTAGCCCTGGGAAATTGCTCATCAGACTCTGAAAGGAAGGAATAGCTGTAGGGATGTCATTTACCCGAGGAGTGCAACTGTGGGGATGGAGGAATGAAGTCACTGCCCACTTAAATAAGAACACTGCTCCTACAGTGAAATTTTCCTTTAGTGCCTGGATTTGGGGGAAGAATTTTCATTAGGGGGGCACCCTCATTTTGTTTCCTCCTTCTAGGCAGGCCGACCTTAAGTAAGATATTGCAACTTGCCAGTAGGTCGCTGTGAAGAAAATGTGGGCACATGAAACAAGGCAGCTAACTGTAGTGAGCTGATAAGTTTATGTGCAACCCAATTACAAGTCCTTCCTTCCTTAGAAAGTATGATGCCCAGTGCTTCCCCACTAGCTGCATCTTCTGTAAGTGTCCAGTCTGTCATGTACACTCTCTATAGGGGAGAACAGAGAGTTAAAGTATGTTGATTATTATAGAGAGGTGTAGTCATTTCAGTGTTGGACTGGGACTCTGGAGACCAGGGTTCAATTCCCAGCTCGGCCATGAAACTCAATGGGTGACCTGCTCTCAGCCTCAGGGGAAAGTTTCTCTGAACAAATCTTGCCAAGAAAGCCCCATGATAGGTTTTTGCCTTGTTGTTGTTGTTGTTGTTGTTGTTGTTGTTGTTGCTGTGTGTGCCTTCAAGTCGTTTCAGACTTATGGTGACCCTAAGACAAACTTATCATGGGGTTTTCTTGGCAAGTTTGTTTGTCTTAGGATTGCCATAAGTCTGAAATAACCTGAAGGCATACAACAACATCAACAACAACAACACTCATGTGTAAGTCTAGAAATTTTAGTCCAAAAATTGACTGAAAAAAACCTGGGTAGACTTATCCATAGGCCAATGTAAGCACTGTATTTTAATTCTTCCCAAAAATGGAACCATCCTCTCTCTGAGTAGATTGGCAAATGGTGGGGCTTGGTTCCTCCCAGGGCACCTAAAAGAAGCACTGCCCTTCCCACTCCCCACATTACCACTTTTGACCTTTTTGGATGCCTAGATGGGAAATGGTGGTGGTGGTAGCTGTTTGGTGCTCCCCCTCAACGGAGTGCTGAGAGGAATCAGGCTTTGAAGGATCTGATTTGTGCATGTTTGTCTGCTTTTCTGGGTAAAATTTAGACAAAGTTATTAAAGTTAAAAGCTATACAGTCTTCCCTCCTCATTTGCAGACTTGAAGTCCACAGTCTTGGGCCTTTGCAGATCAACAAGCAAGGAGGGATAAAATGGTGCTCGCGCCCATGGCACATGCGCAGGGCTGCATGGAGGAGTATGCACCCATTAAAAATAATGTGGACTTGAATATTAGTGATGTTTCCAATTCGTGGGGGGATCCAGGACAGATCCCGCATGAACCGGAAGGGACGACTGTAATCATTGCTAAAGTAGTCATCATTTTCTTTGGTTTGCCTTTTCATCCTTTTTCATATGTGTGCATTTTCTTACCCCTGCCTGTGTCTGGTTGCTTCCTCGACACATTACACACCCATGATTTACCATAATTTCCTCCTTATCCATCCAGCCTTTAGGATGAGCACAGTTATGCCTACCAGAATTTTGTAAGTTCTTTGTCATTGTCTTCCTTTGCTTTGTCCTTTAGATCCTTTGTTAAGTCAAAATGGAGACTGTAGTCATGAAATCAGAAAAAGACTAGCACTTGGAAAGTCAGCTATGAAGGAACTAGATAATATGTAAAATATGTCAAGTGTAAAAATACAGTATTGAATATCAAAGGCAGGATTGTCCATGGCATAGAATTTCCAGTTTCTATGTTTGGTTTTGAGAGCTAGGAAGAGAAGAAAGCCGACAGGAAGAAAATCAACTCAATTGAAATGTGGTCTCAGAGCAGAGTTCTACAAATAGCATGAATAGTAAAAAAAAACAACCAGATAAATATGTCCTAGCACAAATCAAATCTGGACTCTCTCCCTAGAAGCCAAAATTACTAAAATGAAGCTATGATACTTTGGACATATCACGAGGAGGCATTACTCAATAGAAAAGATGACAATGCTTGATAAACTGGAAGACAGTATAAAAAGAGGATGCTAGATAGACTCCATCAAGGAAACCCTGAGTTTCCAAGACCTGAGAAGGGCTGTTAACAACAGAACAATTTGAAGGTCACTCATTAATAAGGTTACCACAAGCTGACTAAGAACAAAAATAGAATATATTTTATTAGAGTGACGAACAGAACTTAAATAAATTGGCAAAATGTTTTGGCTTTTGCTTTCTTCAGTTGCTTAAAAGAAAATCACGCTGTATCCAAGGTGTCAGTTTAGAATACTACTGCCAACATTTGTTAAGCAGAAGATGGTGTTATGAATTATATGTTATAAATATGGTGAAATTGTGTTGTTTTTTTTAATAAAAGGACAACACTTCTGGCAAGTTTGCTCTGAGATCCCAGAATGCAATTAATCCCCCCCTCCTGGCCTGTATATATCTCAGTGATTAATAATCAAAATATTAAGAAATTAGCATAACATTTGGCTTCATAGTGCTATCTATTATGTGTCTGTGAGTGTGAGTGCATGTCTGTATATTTCTCCACCTTCAAGAGGCTGGGTAGTCTAGCCAGACTGAGATTTCTTCAGAGAGCAAAACACTATAGTAATGTAAGACCATTCAGTATGTTCCACATTGTGCTTGTTCAGGCCTTCTGGAAAGCAGGAGAAAGCAGCAGCAGACCAATGATCCAAAACTGCACTTACCCATTGCAGATTCTGTCATAAACCAAAACTGTAAAATATTATCATCTTAGAAAATTACTACATCTGAGGATTTTGGGCCAACGAAAACCTGGGCATCATTATAACTTCCACTTTACTGTGCCAAGACAAGCACGATGATATAGTTTTTACAAAACCTCTTATTATGATTGAACCGCTTAATGGCTATTGTTTATTCTACTGATGACATAAGAAATCAGAATGTGGATGCAATGATTAAGCTAAAATCCTAACCCACTTTCTTTCCTGCTGGCTAGGAGGGAGGTCCTTCTGTAAACTGCATGTTTGAAAGAAATTAGGTCATAACCAGAGATTGCATTTGCTTTCTTTATACACAGAGTAATATATTAGCTAAAATAATGGTGGTGGTGGTGGAGGTGGTGATGTTTAAAAATAACCATTGAGGATCTACATAAATTCAACCTAGACAATGAAGAAATCAAAATAGTTAAGAAGTTCTTGTACCTTGGTTCAAACATTGATAACAAGGAGACTGCAGTCAAGAAATCGAAAGAAGACTAGGAATGGGAAAGGCAGCGATGAAAGAACTAGACAAGATCCTAAAGAGATACAACTGACCACTGAAGTTAGAATTGTACAAGCCATTTTATTCCCCATCACTGTGTATGGATGCGAGAGCTGGGCAGTGAAGAAGGTTGATAAAAAGAAAATCGACTTATTTGAGATGTGGTGCTGGAGAAGAGAGCTGTGGATACCACAGACAGCCAAAAAGACAAATAAATGGATCCTTGAATGGATCAAACCTGATCTCTCCCTAGAAGCCAAGATGATCAAATTGAGGCTGCTATATGTTGGCCAAATCATAAGACACAATTCAATAGAAAAGACAACAATGCTAGGAATGGTAGAGGGTAGTAGAAAGAGAGGAAGACTGTATGCCAGGT